CTCATTTCTGTTTCTTTCCAGACGGCTCTGTGCCTTGAAGTCATTCACATTACCCAGATCTTTGCCTCTTGCCCAGATGGTGCCGCGAACTACTCTTCTACAGTCCCACTGTGTCTGCGGCTACTTCCCATTTTTTGATTTCTAATCTTGTGTATTTCTGCCCTGCCCCTTTTTTGTCATAAACTACTACGTGGTGTATCTACTATCTTCTGTCTATTCACAAAAGTCACTCTTGAATTTATTAACCCCATAATGTTTTACCTGATCTGTTTCTTTGGGTTCTTATTAGGCTTACTTTGCTGTTGTGCTGCTGGTGGTTTACCTGTATTATCTGTTTGGTGTAATGCTTTGAACTGAAATTTCATTATCATCCTTAATTAGCGTGTGAACAGAGCTTTAGATTTATCCTTTTCATTTGGAACTGTATGGGTTTTGCCATCCAGATATTCTGCAATTTAATATTAACTTTTTTATAATTTAAGAGCCATTTTTAAGATACAGAAGACCTTTTAATTTACCAGATGTTTGTCCTATTTTTGTTATCATGCCTACTTTCACTGCTTGCCAATTTGAGAATACTTCAAGGCTACTTCTGCTTTTTAGGACTCATTGAGATGTTCTTCATGCTTGCTAGATGGACAGAGTCTAATATTTAATAGACAGAAAGCCAGCAGTATGCACTGAAAACTGTTACAGACTGTCAGATCTACGATTTTAGATTTACAGAATCAACCCTATTAATTGTACTTTTCAAATTCTTAACGAATTTCTACTAATGTCCCGGTCAACTTGACGACGCCCTACTTGTGCTGATGGAAAGGAAGTAAACGTCCAGCTGCTGGTGTTTCCAGTCGGTTCTCCCCTGGTCTCACCGGGCTCGCTCTGCGCTCCTAATGCTATGTTACTTGGTGTGTAAATATTTATGATCACTGTATTTGTACCACAGCTTGGACCCTTTTCATTATAGTCTCCCCCTTTAAAAAACATTCTGGCTTTAAAACCAAAAATAAGGTCCAGCAGTGTAGCTCAATGGTAGGACGATTCCTAACAGCCATGAGGTTCTGGGTTCAATCCCCAGCACCACAAACAAATAAATTTTAAAAAACCAAGCCTCTCCTCTAACCAAACTTGTGATGTCAGCTTCCTTTTGCTGGCATGCACCTGTATACCTTGTTTCCGTTTACATTTCAATCTCTCCGGGTCCTCTGCGTCTTATGTATAGAACACACAGCTGCTTTTTGGTTTTGACCTAACATAGAAAGTTTTTTCTTTGAATAAGAGCATATAACATACTTGTGTCTTTTGGAATAACAGATGTCTTTCATCCTAATCCAGTCATCTTATTGTAACCTTTTCTGTAAGAAGCCTATACTCACTGTCATGTTACATGCAGAATTCTGTGGCCATAAGGCCAGGCATGGTAGCTGATGCCTGTAATCCCCACACTCAGAAGGGTCAGGCAGGAAGATGGCTGTGAGTTTAAGACATGCACTCCACAGTGAGTTCAAGACCGGCCTAAATAGCAAGATCTTGTCTCAAAAAATATATATAAATAAAATCATAATTTTACATCTATGCACAACCATTCTTTGTTTCTTGTTGTTTTTGTAGTACTGAAGATTGAATCCAGGGCTTTCTCATTGAGTTACATCCCCAGCCCTGTTTTTTGTTTGTTTGTTTATTTTTAATTTGAGATAGGGTCTTACTAAGTTACTAAGTTGCCCAGTTGCCCAGGGGCTTGAACTGGCAGTTCTCCTGTCTCAGCTTTCCAGAGTGCTAGAATTACAGGCTTACAACCCTGCACCAGGCTTGTGCGTCCACTCTGGAGAGAGGAGGCCCATCGCTTCCCCCTCTATCGGATTCTCAGCGGGGACACTGACCCCAAGGATGGAGGACCATTGCCCTAAAGCTGTCTCTGTAGGAAACACTGCCCATCGCCCTCCTGGTGCCAGAGCCACTGAAGCGAGTCTTCTGGAGTCGTCCCCTGGGCTCACCCAGCAGGCCAGTGATGGCGCTGCCATACAGGGCAATGAGCAGGTCTAGCCAACTCTGAACTCCCATAAATCACAGTTCACTGTAAATACTAAGTGGTGAGGCGAACACTAACGATGCAAGCCCCTCTGCTCTGCAGCGGCTGAGGCGGACCTGCTTTTTGCACACTCACCCACACGTCCTGTAACTGAACACAATAAAGCTCTCCTCATCAGTCCTCTCGACGAAGGTCACACAGGTGTGCTTCTCCCAGTGTCTCATGGCCTGTTTAAAAATGGCTCTCTGGTTGCCTGAAATGACAGGGCAAGTACTGGTCACTTCATTCCTGATCAGAGCTTCTGTGAATGCCTAAGGCATGCTGGCTTAAGACCAAACTTATGTTGATGATTTAAAAAAAAATTGTTAATAATACTTGCATTGGTTACTTAAAATTTAATAAGGCAACAGATTTTTAAGCACCTTCCCCATCCTTACACATACGCTCCAAGTGGGGATCATGGACAGTGATGGATGCGTTGTCTGTGGTGATCGTTAGATAGCTGTATCAAATTTTCACTTTATAATCCTTGAATGTATAAGATTTTGTCAACTAAATATTTTTAAAATGATTTGGAAAGCTCGTGCTGGTGACTCAGAAGAGAAATGCACCAGGAGTGAGATTGCTTTTGCTGAAAATGAAGCATGCTTTTCCTGAGCAGCCCAAACTGAGAGGGCAGGAGTTGATGAACTGGAAGAGGGCGTAAAGGCCAATGTTCAGGACATTCCAGGCTTCCCAAGTTCTTCTTTGTATTCAAAGTATTTTTCTAAACATTTGCACAACTGCACCCAGCATGTTTACTTTGGGAGTGCAGGCTTCTGAAGTGGGGAGCCCGCTGCCCACGCCACCTCCTGCCCTCATTTCTGCCAATCCAGCCAGAGGGGACTCCCAGGCCCTTGGCAGTTTCATTTGGGTGCATGTCCATGTGCTTTGTGTGGGGTCTCTCAGTGTCTTCTGGGGGGATCCCTGGGCCTGATTTTCTATAAAGTCTTGAAAAACAAGAGAATTTCATACTTTCTCTGAACCTAGCTTCATAGTTCCTTGATTAGAATTTTTTTTTGTATTGGGGGGAATCGAACTCAGGACCTGGCATTCGCCAGAGAGGCGCTTCTGCCACTAAGTTATCTCCCTGCCCCTGGACTAGAAATGGATAAATAATGAAACTCCATGCTGGCAGTTTTGTACAGTTGGTAAGAATTCTTTTCAAAATCAATTTGATGGAAAGAAGACTATTTTAATTTTGTTAAAAAACGAGCAAGTTCTAGAAAAAAAAATAGTTATTTGAGTAGTAAAAAAGGCACTGGGAGTAGAGACTCAACTTCCAGAGTGATGTAAAAATAAAAATAAGCAAACAAAAAATACCCCATCGTAGTGTAGAAGATGTAGCTGTGGGCTCATACTGTCCCCGCCCAAAATCAGCACATGCACTAAAGAGAAACTTAGCTGTCTTTTTCTTCTTCGATAACTTGATACTTCTGGTTCAAGGTGGTTGTCAGTCATAAGCATCAATCCGACTACTTACAGAAGAACACACAATCCGTATATAATCAAAGTTCTATCACACACAGTTAGCTCAGTTGGATGCAGGCCATACAAATCTTTTGTCAGAAGGCCATGTCACACCCGAAAGAACAGCACCAGGACACCAAAGAGCAGTGGCCACTATTCCTGCCTGACATTTCAGCTCTCTGGAAAGCAGCTTTCTCTGATGTTAGAACTGGGGGCCCTCATGGGCAGGGGGAGGTCTTAGGCTTCTGTCTATCCCAGTACTTCGTCAAGCCTCTGGCATAAGGGAGCTCTGCGTGGCTCGGGGAGCCCCCGTCCTCCCGGGCACCTGCCCGCCCTGGGGTCTGCACACCTCTGCCACTATCTTGCCCCTCCGTGCTTCGCAGTGGTGCTGGGGCACACTTCCCTTCAGCAGCCACCTCTTGCGGAAGGGGTCACAGAGCTGTGAGAGGGAGGGGTGCAGAAGGAGCAGGGGAGAGGCTGCCGAGGCCAGGGAGCTTGCTCGGGGTGGCCAGAGCCGGGAACTGAACTGGTGCTGCGCCGGCCGGCCGTAGGCTGCTGCTGCGGGCGGGTAGCTGGAATGAGCTTCCGTGGCAGGTCTTAGGTGTGAGAACACCTGGGGTGGGGAACGTTTTCTGCTCCCACAGAGCTTGGGCAAAGGTAAAAGGTAAATTGAAACGCAAGCGAAGCAATGTCGGTTAACGGTGAGTACCGCCAAGACATAAACAGGACTGCTGGACCACCGAGTCACTAGGGGCCTCGTGGGGAGCCAGGGGACTTTCTGTGGATGTGTCACCTGGCCTAGGACTCGAATGGTAAGAAGAAGCCAGGCCAGCCACACAAGGTTCTGGGAAAAACCTTCCAGCAAACAGAAGGGCAAGCGCAAGTCTACTTGTGCAGGGGCTCACAGCATGTTCAGGAACGGGAAGGGGCCTTGAGGCTGAGGAACAGGCGCCGAGGAGGAGGGAGGAGCCGAGATGAGCAGAGGGGTGAAAAGCCTCGGAGGGGAGACCTGGGGAGAGCCCAACAGCACGCTCAGCAGCTTCAGCTTCATGCTATAGGCAGTGGGAAGCCACGGGTGATTTGCATATTCTGAAGGTAATTATACTAATAGCATACGCCAGGCGTAATTACTCTGTGCCAGCCATAATTCTAAGTGCTTTACCTGTATTGATTCTTTGAACTCTCAAAATAACATGCACGATAAAAGATATCACCGTCCGCATTTATAAAACAGGCAGCCCCAACAAAAATTTAAGGAATTTGCCAAGAGGGGAGCCCGGATTTGAACCCGGGGAGGCATGTTCCACCATGCCCTACCTCCTGGCGCCCTCGGGTTACCATGAGGAACACTGTTTGGTGGACGGTGGCGAGGGACTGCTGTCCCCAGAGTGCTTGTCCAACCCCCCTGTTGCACAGCAGTGCACACCCCTCCTGTGCCTGGAGGGTTTGACTCATACACTCAGCAAACTCCACTGTCCTTCAAGTCGCCCCTCCCTAGGTGAAGGCTTGGAGACAAGGTGATGTGTTTGAAGGTGCAGCCCCAACAGAGACTGTAGTTTCCTTGGGACTAGTGGGCCGCGTCACGCAGCGTAAGGGAGCCTTCAGCGGGTGGACCTGCCGTGGCCCTGGCATCCAGCACCTGGCCCCAAAGCAGTCTCATCTGGGGTACTGACCAGTAAAGTTCCCTCCAATGACATAGGGGATGACCCCTCCAGGCCAGATCCTCTCTGTCCTGGAAGTTGTGGCTCTTCGGACCCGGGCAGAGAAGGTCTGGGCTGCGGCATTCAAGGTCTCAGGGCTGGAAGGAAGTCCGTCATCCTCCTTGCCACCTGCAAGACAGTCAGGACACCATGTACTTTGTCCTCTGACTCCTGCAAATTATGCTCAACATTGTATAATACAGGTCAAAAGAGGGATTAGGACCTGCAACACAAGGGGGCCTTTCACCTGTGCAGGTCTTCGATTCCTGGTCATATCCTGGATGGGGAAAGCTGAGTGTAACAAGGAGGCCCCACAGAGACATGGAATCAAAGGGGCCCAGCAGCTCTCAGTCTTCTGGGCAGAACCAAAGTTGGGATGAGCAATCCCTTGCCTTGACCTACAAGCACCAACGCATCAATCAGAAACCCTTCAGCTAGGACAGCTACAAAAGTGGACCAGTCTGTGACACTGGGGAAAAACTAATTTTTTGTTAAAATCCAGAAAAAAACAGACCCTCCTAAAATCTTCCAGCTCTTCCTAGTCTCTTAAGACATCTGAACCCTTCAGAAAAAATGTAGGAAAGGGGGTTTGTGGTGCTGGCACCAGCAGAGGGAGGGAGTGGGAGGCCCAGCCTACCACGCAGCTGAACCCACCTCATGCTGTTCATTCAAAGAAGCTACGGATTCACCTCAGTGCACTTGTTTAAAATTCCTCACTGCTATGACCTGGACTACTTTCTCTTCTGTCTTACATTTCCCCTCTAAGTATTAGCTTTTGGCTTTGTTTCTGTTATGGTTCTTGTCTACGTGTCCCTCCAAAGCCTCATGCAGTTATTGGACAGACTTATAGAGTTAGTGATTAATTCATGACCCAGTGCTGGGATTATGGGTGTGAGTGCTGCTGGGATTACAGGTGTGAGTGCTGCTGGGATTAGGGATGTGAGTACTACACCCGGCCTGAGGCAGGTGGCCTGAATGCAACAGAAGGGAGACGGACTTGCTCTCTGCAGCCACTGCTGCAGTTCCTCCTCCCATCTGCTCTTGCTGTTTTGCTGTTTTCTACCACCATGACCTGCTGCTCTCTGCCATGTGCCGCTCTGCCTGGGAGCCACCTGAGCAGGGACTGAACCTCTAGGAACTGTGCGCTGAATAAAGCTTTCCTTCCTTCATTCTGGGTGTTGGGTATTTGTCCCAGCAACGAGAGAAGAGTAACTGAGACTGTTTCATTTTATTTTAAAAAATTTTTCATTTTTCCCTGCTCTATTAATTTATTAATGTCCTCATTTATTTCATTCTGTGACATTTCCTTTCTAGCTTTTTTGTCATTAGAAAATCAAGATATAATTCACAATCATGATATTCATCTTTTTATAGTTTATAATGCAGTGGGTTTTGGGGGGTTGGGGTGGGCCTTTTGAGATGGGGTCTCATTGTACAGTTCAGGCGGGCCTTGAGCTCACTTTGTAGCCCAGGCTGGTCTTGAACTTGCAACTGATAGGCTTTTTTCAGGCAGCTGGCGCAAAGGAAAACTGGGAAGAAAGAAAAAGGGAAAGGGGTCTGAAGACGCGGAGAGAATCTGGGAAAGATGAGGAATTCTCTGGATTGGAACAAAGGGAGGCTGAGGCTTTTATGGCCTGTGCCAAGGGTGGGGTTTGAGGGGATGTTTAGATATACCTGAGGATCTGACTGGGGCCTTGCCTGAGGTGGTGGGAAAGGTGGAAGGAAACTGCACCCTGGGCTGAGTTGGAGAAGAAGCAGGGAGGTGGTCTCTGGGAAGATAAGCTGTTATTTTAAGGGCTTCAGCCATATTAGATGGCCACCATGATGACTCAGCAATTCATACTAGGGCCAGAAGGGATCAGCAACAATCCTCCTGCCTCAGCCTCCCGAGTGCTGGGATTATAGGCATGCACCATCACACTTGGTTTACTTCAGTGCTTTTAGTATATTCACAGAGCTATACAACCATGAGCTCTATTTACTTGTGCAATGTTTTCATGGCTCCAAAGCGAAACTCTGTAGCCATGTCTCTCCAAAATTGAAATCATGGCCACAAAAATAATGTTTACAGGAATGTTCACAGCGACACTATTCATCATAGGCCAGAAATGGTAAATTGCAAAGGTTCATCAACAGAGGAATACATAAATAAAATGTGGCATATCCGTACAAGGGGATATCATCAGCTATAAAACAGAATGAAGGATGTACTCATTGTACCTCACAGATGAACATTAGGAACATACCTGAAAGGAACCAGACACAGAAGATCACACGTGTTACGGCTTGTGTCTAGGTGTCCCCCCAAAGCCTCATGCAGTCATGGGGTGGCTTCTGGGGTTTGTGATTGATTACTGAGGGTGTGGATGCTGCGCCTGCCCTGGGGCAGGTAACTTGCACTACAGTGTAAGGAGGGAAGAGGGGCTGGCTGCTGCCTGAGCTGCTGCTACCCCTCCCTGTGCTCTCTGCTCTTTGCCACCGCCCTGAAAGGTTGCTCTCTGCCATGTGCCACTCTGCCTTGGAGCCAGCCAAGGATGGACTGAAACCTCCAGGAACTGTGAGCTAAATAAGCCCTTCCTTCCTTCATTTTGAGTGTTTTGAGTATTTGTCCCAGCAATGAGAGAAGAGTGACTGAGACAACAGGCAGCACGATTTCATTTATATGCAATGTCCAGAACACACAAACTAAGGAGCGTACTGTTGCCTAGGACTGCAGAGCACCTTCCCACTGGGGTGGCAGGAAGTGAGGGTAGGGGGCAGTACTGGGGTGCAGACTCCCCTCTTCAGAAGCCTACACTTCGCAAACTGAAAAACCTGGACACAGTTTTACAAACATTTCAGCCCAAAGGGCCAGGGAGATAGCTCAGTGGTCTAAGCAGCTGCCTGGCAAGCGCAAGCACCTGGGATGATCCCTGGTACCACATGCTGTGTTGGCACTAGAAGCCCTGGCATGCTGTGCCAGCCACCAAAACCGGGCATGGTGGTGCAAGCCTGTAATCCCAGCACTGGGGAGGCTGACACAGACGGACCACAATGAGTCCAAGCTGTGTAGTGAGACCCTATACCAAATAAAAATTAAATTAAATTAAAAATGACAAAGGAAAAGTTAAGAAGCTCAGAACATTCTGAATGCCTATTTTTACTCTCTCTTCCACTTTACAAACTCTTACCCTCTAGGTTTTGGCTGCTCAGGAAAAAGATGTTTTATCTTTTAAGAAGAGAAGTCCTTATTCCCAATGTATTTCTCTTCTTTTAAAATTGTTTAAGAAATATCTCACTGACAACATTTTATATGCCAAAGGTGGACTTGGTAACTTCGGTACATAGTATGTAATGATCAGCACAGTCAGACTGAGTAGCACGTCCTCGCTGTCCATCGTTGGCGTTTAGGGCGTGCACGTCGGCACCGAGGGCAATGCTTGAAAATCTGCTCTTCCCAAGCTCTTGCATATGCTCCATATACATTTGATAATAGCTTGTCTATGCCTTCTGTCTCAGTTACTCTTCTCTCATTTCTGGGACAAAATACCCAACGCCCAGCATTAAGGAAGGAAAGGTCTACTTAGCTCACATTAGTCGAAGTGCTAGTCTATCCCCAGCCAGCTCCAGGGCAGGCAGCACATGGCAGAGAGCAACTGTCACTGGCTGCGGCGAAGAGCACAGGGAGGAGCCGAGGCTGTGGCAGCCGCGAGCCTCTCTCCCCTCCTTCTATGGTAATCCCATTCCCCACCCCAGGGCCAGGGTGCGGCACCCACACCTGTAATCCCAGCATTGGATCAAGGATCAGTCACAAACCGGAAGCCACCCATGCCTGCATGAGGCTCCGGGGGCACCACTAGGTACCATAGCAACCTACAAAACAATTACTGAACTTTCATATGAATTTCATTAAACCTATCAGTCAGTTTGGAGAGGAGAGGTACCTTCACTATACTCACTCTTATCATCCATGGCACAGGGTCTCC